GGTGATGTGCCCAGGGGCAGGGACACAGGGTGAGCTGGGGGCAGTGCCCAGGGGGTGAATGTGCCCAGGGGCTGGGACACGGCGTGATTGGGGGGCAGGGCCCAGGGGCAGGGACACAGGGTGAGCTGGGGGCAGTGCCCAGGGGCAGGGACACGGGGTGAGCTGGGGGCAGGGCCCAGGGGCAGGGACACGGGGTGAGTTGGGGGCAGGGCCCAGGGGCAGGGACACGGGGTGAGCTGGGGGCAGTGCCCAGGGGGTGATGTGCCCAGGGGCAGGGACACAGGGTGAGCTGGGGGCAGTGCCCAGGGGGTGATGTGCCCGGGCCGTTGTTAATTGACCCATCTGTTGGCAGGGTGTAACTGTAACCAGCACTCGCGCCGGTGCCACTTCGACATGGCCGTGTACCTGGCCACGGGCAACACCAGCGGGGGCGTCTGTGACGACTGTCAGCACAACACCATGGGCCGCAGCTGCCAGCTCTGCAAACCCTTCTACTACCACAACCCGCGGGCCGACATCCGGGCCAGCACCGCCTGCGTCCGTGAGTGCCCAGCGGCCTGGCGGACGGGCCCGGGCAGCGGGGGGGGGGGGGTGTCGCCTCAGGGGTCCTCGGGGCTTTGCGCCCCTTCCTCTGAAGCTAGAGCTGGCACCAGTCGGGTGCCCACAGCACAGAAGGGACGTCCTCTCTCTCAGGGTCACCGGCCCATGTCCGGCCCTTGGTCTCTAGGGGCTCGCCAGGCCCCCACTAGTCATGTGCTGTCCCCGGGTCTGCTTCCAGCCCAGACGGGCCCCCTGACGCATGCCTGTGCCCCCCCGGGCACGTGGGCAGGCCAGGGCACTGCACGGCTCCTGGGCTCCCCAGGGCCCAGAGGTCGGAGCGGGCTGGGTCACCCCTGTGCGTAGTGAGACTGAGGCTGGCCGCTTCCCGGCTCTGAGACCGAGCTGCAGCCCCTGCCGCCCCCAGGAGCTCTGCCCAGCCAGGCCCCTGCTCGGAGCGTCCCCCTGTGCCGCGCAGCCGGTGCCGGGCTCCAGTCCTGGCTCTGCAGAGAGCAGCGAAGGGACAGCCAGAGCCCAGCCTGGCCAGCCCATCTTAGCCTCCTTCTGCGGCTGTCCCGTGTCTCAGTGCCAGGGGCTGCCCTGGGTCGCAGAGCCCTGTTCTCCGCGCTCGCCTGGCACCGCCCCCTCATTCTCCGTCTGCAGCCTCACGGGTGAAGTGTGGGGTCCTTGGGGTTCCCATTGTCGGTTGGGTCCCCCTAGCCCTCGCTACCCTGTGCGGCTCCCCAGACAGCTGCGTGGCCCACACCTCATGTGGCGCTCAGTGCGGCAGGGCGACGCCTGGGGAAACTGAGGCACATATCGCCCCTGTTGGTCATGGCCCCGGGATGCGGCCAGGGAGCGCATGAGCCCTTTGGCTACAGTGCTGCACGAGGGGCTCACGCCAAGCCGCAGCCCCTCTGCGGGCAGCCCCCACGCTGCACTCCCTGGCCTGGTCGTGTGCCCGGGGCTTTGGCTGTGCTGAGACACTCGGCTGCCCTCCCCATCCCACCGACTGTAGCTCCCCTGTCCTTGCCCCGCCCTGCCCGGCATGGCCGATCCTGACTGCCCTGGCAGTGCCACCTGCTTCGGTCACTGGCGTCCGGACTGGGCACAGAGCTGGCTCCTGGCATGCGACTCCTGCTCTCTTCCCCTCTGCTGGCAGCCTGTGACTGTGACCCGGTGGGCTCCCTGGATGGCGGGGTGTGCGACAGCCACACGGACGTGGCGCTGGGCATGATCGCCGGGCAGTGCCGCTGCAAGGAACACGTCCAGGGCGTGCGCTGCGACAGCTGCAAGGAGGCCTTCTACGGGCTGAGCCACACCGACCCGCAGGGCTGCCAGCGTGAGTGTGGGCACGGCCTTGGCACTGCTCTGAGTGAAGCCAGGCAGGACTCGGGGCAGCGTCTCCCCTCAGGGCCACACTCACCAGGGCCAGGAGCCTGCCTGGCTTCGGCGCTTCCTGGGTCCGACCTCGGAGCGTTCAGCCCCCTGGTCACCCCGTTCGCTCCCGGCAGCAAGTCTCTGTGGGCGGGACCCCTCAGATGCCCCTGTTGCGGATTGTGGGGGAGTTAGGGCCCTG